CGCTTATCAGCCACGGTGAAAGTTATCATTCAGCAAGTTCCGGTGGTTGGAATGTCTCACTATATGGATATCGCGGTGGACTTGAAATAGGAAGTTTTTTTTTTATCCAACGACAGAAGAATAGTTTTCATGACAGAAATGCAATAACGGTGATAAAAGATGGTAAAAATTGCTGCCCCCAGTTATGGATTTGCAAGCTGCTAGCAAATATTTTATGAAGCCCAAATAATGTGATTTCAACCACTCTCCCAGGTTCAGGTTGCTACAATATTGCAACATTGGTTTCATTGTCGACGACGTTAAAGCCGACACTTGCTTAGCGGCTCTCCTTATATGATTTGCTTTAATCGTATGTAAGGAAGCACGACAAACCAAACGGCCGGCCCTATTCATGGCCACGACATATTTCAAAAAGAGAACTACTGTTTCTGCTTTAATATATATTTTTATAGACTTGCTGTCTGTTATGATTCTGAAAAAAAAATCAGCGGTGAATGCGCTGCCCTGAAGGCAGAAAGCTGTCACAGCTATTTCGCGTTCACCCCTTGTTTTACGCAATTAACAATTATATTTAAAGAATTTTTGTAAGCATCACAACAGACTTCAAGAAAGTCAACTGTTAATATAACCACAGTCAACGAATAAAAAATAGTTTTTTGTTATTTTTTGTGTAGAAAAAGATCCCCTGGGCGTGTGCCCGGATATGACCTCAACTTTTTTATTTTGTCAAAAGTGGGGGTGTGGGCGTTTGTCCAGGCATGGGCTCTGGATAAGTACGGTAATTAGATCAATTCAATCTAATAATTTTTTCCTCTGTTTTTAGCTCTGTTGTTGGCATATGAGTAATTGTTTGTTGCCACCTGAAAACTACAAATTTATTTTCTATGATACTATGATCTCTTTTGGTGAAAAGTGAACTTCTTGTTAAAAACGGCAAGTCTGATAGAACCTCTCAGAATTATATCTTCAACTCTCTAATGTAGATGAATATTTTTGGTAAAAAGTGGTACTTGTTTAAAACTGCAAGGCCAATTGCTTTGCTTTGATATGTGTTTAATTTTGCAGTTTTGAGCTGCCCAAGGTTTTCATGGTGTTTCATTTCGCGGATCGTTGAAAAATAAAAACTATTTGCAGCTCATTACAGTCTGACATTTAATCACTGTATCCTTTATTTTAAGTAAATAATTTTAAATGACCAGACAGTTATATATCTTTAGAAAACAAATGTTTTCACAGCTTGCTGTACGATCACAGGAAAAATGTCCCTATAACCAACACCATTTTGCTCATCCTACTCGATGCATGCTTCATCAAAAAAATAATGTTCACCAAAAAAATACTCAGTATATTTAATGTAATGTGCATTTATTTTTTTATTTTATTGGGAACGAAAGTATATTCTAAAAGAAGTTTCAAATAAAAACAAACATGAATCCATTGCTTAGTAGCAAATGATCACGGTAGCACATTCTGTACAAAAGTAACGTACAAAAAATATATTTGTTGAATTGTTATGAAATGCAATTCAAATTCAATTTAGCTTCATTGTAAGCGAATGATTCTAATAGCCTGTAAATACTTGATGCGATACGATATCTGCCATGTTTTTTCCCATACACAAGTTGACCTGAAACGGTGGTCTTTGACCTAATAGGTCAAGTCACTAATTACCCAATCAAAATGCTGGATGATGCCAACGTGTTCAAATTACCATAGTTCATGTTAATGACGCAACATGTAAGTGATTCGCTGATGTTGTAGTACGATTTTTTGGCTTTGATTTTGATGGGAAGACGGCATTAGTTGTTTTCAGAAGATAAAGAATAATTTAACATTGAGTATGGTGATAACAGCTCATTATCAAAACGAAGCTTGCCCATTCACGCTAGTCACAATAAACATCATACACTTGAATAGGTGTCAATGGCTATGGTAAAACCTGATTTAGAATCAAATTTAGACATCAGGAAAGATCAAAATGTTCGAAAAATGATGCCTAAATTAGAGATTTTACAGAAATCAGTCATTGTACTTTATTATTGATTGTATGATCGTGGGTCAGGAGTGAGTGTTGTTTCGACTGGGCTATTGTGTTTTACATTCCAACATAAAACAGAACATTTTTGTGTAGTTTTGATTTCATGTTTTCCGACTTGCCGCAAAATTTCGCGAAATTAAAACCGCATGAATATTTTCTACTTCTACAGTAGGTACCTCCGTTGGACCTCTCTCAGATTTATTTCAATTTGTGACAATATCTTCAAATTGATGAATATTTTAGTAATTTTGGTACTATAGGCGGACCTGTCTCAGATTTGTTCATTTTGTGATATCTTCAGTTCTTTAATTGAAATCTGCATTGGTAACAGCGGAGCTATCTCAGCCGACAGGCTGCTTGTCTATATTTTACTTTTACTTTTATGATGCCTCAGCAAAACATATTATTTTTTCACATAAATAATTGGTCACTACTTTTAAATGAGTTTATTATATTGTGCGATAAAAAAACATCTGGTCTTTCTTCACTGTTATACTGTGTTGGTTAATTTTTTTTCTTTGCCTTCACAGCAGAATTTTCTTATTTTTCCCGACAACCATTTCTTCAATTTTCTTTGTTCCCAGTAACTTGATATGTTAATCAGGGATTTTTTTAAACAAGGGAACAGGGGTGCAGCACCCTCATGCCATGGCCATGCACCCCCTTACCCTGGGAAGCAGATCCTCTGGCAACCATAAAATTCTGATTGACATGGGATCACATGTGGCCACAGTCGTCAACTGTGACATGTCTGATAGTAATTTTGGCATCAAGGAAGCCATGGAATGCTCCATTTGAACTTAGAATTATCAAAAACTTCACACTCTGGTAGGGAGTACCCTATCTCTACCACTTGGTGGCGCCACTGATTGCAGTGTTCTCTCTTGTAGTTTTTTTTCTAGAAAAACCCTTGTTAATGATATGATGATACAACATTGTATCAAAATGAAACCTTCCCCCTGTTTGTCCTTTGATTTACATAGTGCTCTGAAATCACAAATAAACCAAATTGTATTCTAATTTAGGCATCAGGTGGGATTGAAATGTTGCAAAAGCGGTGCCTAAATTACATTACTTTTACAGTACATGGAAGGAAGTGAAGGAACCATAATGTTCTTAAGATTGGGCTAAACGTGGCCGAATGCCATAAATTAAGTGATACAGTGTTTTTGACAGTACTTGTTGACTTTTTTTTGTATGGAAATTTTCACATGCAAACCCTACCCAAATGCTGTTGCTTTGAACTAATTTTTTGGAGTTGTGACATTGTAACACAAATCAGGGTAAGTAATCGGAGTTTAACGGTATATACCGTATTACACCGGGCACGCGCCCCTCCCTGGGCAAGTGCCCAACCCCTGTTTTCACAAAAGTTACATGTTGGGGACATCCTCGGTTAAACGCCCAGGGTGATTTTTAGCCAAGAACGGGGTCAACAATAAAGTTTTATTTGTCAAAAACGTACGTGTTCGATTTATTTAAAAAGTGTGTTTGTTACGGTAGTTCTCTTTTTGGAGCTTTGTTTGTGTTTTTACGTAAAAACTCATTGGAACTTAACGACGTAAGATGAACCACGCAGCATGTGGCGCACATATTCTGCTTTCTCTTCATTCACGATGAATCCAATATTGCAATATTCCATACCTTGGTGAGTGGTTTGAAGCACTTAGCTTTGGTTTCAAAACGTAGCATTTCGCTGACTGTGAATCCATAACGGGAGCTAGCACTTTTGAGACATCACGTCGTAAACTTGCTACTTTCTTTCCATCCTTTATCACAGCATGTGGATTATATTTCTGTCATTGAAGAAAAAACATTTTGCCGACCTCAAGTCCATTACGATAACCATAATGAGGCATGCCGACGATGGGAACTTGTTGCATCATTGTTATTTTTGTAATTTTGTCACGTGTGTGGGTGCGTGAATAAATCATGTTAATGAGGTCGACCAGAGTTTATTTTCAGTCTGTTTTTTATGTATTGCCATTTGGATATGTTTATATATTCACAATAGTTTGTAAACATTTCACATCAGTAATAAAAGGTTTATTTGTTTCATAACCCTGTCTGCTATTCTTCAGTAATTACGATGCGATGTATCAATACGTGCGTGAACAAAATTATGCTAATGAGGTCATCGCCATCTTGGATTACAAGCGGTAGTTTTTCCCGGCCGTTTCGACTTGCACTGATCACGGTTACAGGTACTAAAAAAGTAACCGTGCATTGATTACAATACTTTGTAGCCAATTTCAGTGAGTAATACAACTTCATTCGCTGATATAAAACAAGTTTTATTCTTGAAATTCGACCCCGTGTCTTAGTGTTCCCACAGTTCTTGATCGAGTGCTCACGTTTATTGAAACCTCGCATAAATCAAGAAATAAGTACGTGTACAAAGTGTACGAAAGCATTCCTTTATTTGACCTTATCATACGATCACATAAACAACTTTTTAAAATCTTTTTTGGGGTGGTCCTCTGGTAAGCCCACCCCCAATTTTTCCTGATTTTGTATGTTCAGGCCCCTGGGCGCGTGCCCGAGGTAATACGGTAGGTAAACTATTTGACAGCCATAAATACTGTTATAATGAATATATCGAAACAAAATATATTCAGAATTTGTTTTTCCTCCACAGAGAGGATGCAGTACGGGCAGCTGGTAATCCTACTACCAAGTCTAGTGTGGAAATGGAAAACCATGTGTTTCAGAAGGCAAAGACAAGGGTGAGTCACTCAAATTATCATTACCAATTTCTTATGATCAGAATCTAATAGACGGAGCGCACTGATGGGACTGTACCCCGGCTGAGTGTATAAAACAATCTCCAAATGTAACTTCTAATATTAAAGGGTGTTTGTTAAATTTCATGTAAACAGTGTATTTTTCATATGTTGTGTACATCGCTACAAGTCCCATATATCAAACAGGATGCTGCGCGATCACCACCATCTTTTACTTATGCTTGAAAAGTTTTACCACTATGCCATTTAAATTTGACAAATACATCATAGTATAATTTGAACTTGATGTTTAGAACTATTTGAAAATACTCAGACTGGTTCTGTTGGCATTGTACTAATTATTGACTGTCAAGGTCTTAGATGATATAATACCGACACAATCATTTGCTCAGGTTGCATTACAGTAGGCTGGTACTGTAAAATACTTTATTTTTGCTTGGAATTATTTTTTGCTATATTCACTGAAGGGATGATTCAGTGAAAATAAAATCCAGTGAATATATCTTTTTTCCAATATTTACATTCAACTCATCAAAAATCAGTGAAAATAAATTCCATACAAAAAACACTCAAAAAGTATTTTCAGCAAAAATTATTTGCAGCTAAAATAAAGTATTTTACAGTAAGTTATTACTGCTTACCTGTAATTGTTTTTGTTTTGAATTTTTCTTCTAGTTATAGCGCCCTCTGCATTTGAAGTTTTGTTTTGTGAAGTGTTTCTGTTCTGTTCTGTGTATGTCTCCCTCTATAGCTTGAAATGAGATATATTTTTCATTTGTTGATATGGATTGATATCACTGATATATGTTTATTCGCAGCAAATTTCGTTATATTTTTTTGGGTCTATATAGCCTGTTAGGTGCGTGTACTAAAAACATTCTGTGGACAACACACTGCTGAAAAAGTTGATCTAGCTTTGTGTGCACTGTTGATGTGTTGGTCTGCCATTTAGGTATAGTTTAAAGTTAAAAATACAGCAGTAATACAATATATGTATTGATAACATAATATTATATATCACTGATTATACATGTTAACATGTACAGTGCTGGGATTTCTTTTTTCACCCATGAATTTAGATATGAAATAGTGGGTATAACTTTTTCACCTGCCCTGTACTTTTTAGTCCCTGTATTCAGATAGATTGACTTTTGTGTGTGCATGCATGCGTGTGTGCGTCCAGACCTATATCTTCGACATGCCTGAATTGATTACATTTAAACTTCACACACACATCATACATAGTACCTGCACATCAATTTGTTTCACGATCTGATTCAAGATGGCCGAATCATAGATATACAGATGTATTGGTTTGACGATCCGATTCAAGCAATATTTCTCAATATGGATAAGTACTCGTTTGATGATCAGATACAAGATGAATGAATGTCAATCATTTTAATGTTAAAAAATCATCAGTATACTTAATTATGATGTTTATTTCAGACTATTCGATGCTTTAATTTTACCAATTCTTTTGTACGGGGCAGAAATTTGGGGGTTTAAGCAATATATTCAGGCTGAAAGAGTGCAGTTGAAATTTTGTAAACATTTTCTTGGGGTTGGTGATAAAACATGTACTGAAGCCGTACTTAGGGAATGTGGGCGATTACCCATTTTTGTAAACTCCTTGTTAAAATGTATAAAA